AAATGTCTTCTTTGATATAAGGAGAGTAACTAAGAACAGAGTAGGGACGAAGAGCATGAGAAGAAGATTAACATTAAACAGGGATGAGAGGTGGGAGGGAAAGGGAGAGAGAAGGGAAATTGCATGGAAATGGAAGGAGACCCTCAGGGTTATACAAAAGTACATACAAGAGGAAGTGAGGGGAAAGGGAAAAATAATACAAGGGGGACAAATGAATGACAGTAGAGGGGGCAGAGAGAGAAGAGGGGAGGGGAAGGGAGGGGAGGGGGGATAGTAGAGGATAGGAAAGGCAGCAGAATACAACAGACACTAGTATGGCAATATGTAAATCAATGGATGTGTAACTGATGTGATTCTGCAATCTGTATATGGGGTAAAAATGGGAGCTCATAACCCACTTGAATCAAAGTGTGAAATATGATATATCAAGAACTATGTAACGTTTAGAACAACCAACAATAAAAAATTAAAAAAAAAAAAAGAAATACCTTCGCCAATAACCTGGGTTTCCTCCCACTCTATTTGGTATAAATTGCCTAGTTATAGCCTCTATCAAAGGGTAATTTAAGTTATCTGGCAGGGGAGAAATGTCTCTCTTTGATGATTTGCAGCTGTTGAAGATTTCTAGTAACTAGCTTGACATAGAAATTTGGGGATGTTTCTCAAGAAATATCAGCTTAGAGGGCTGGGGTTGTGGCTCAGTGGTAGAGCGCTCACCTAGCATGCAGAAGGCACCGGGTTCCATCTTCAGCACCACATAAATGTAAAATGAAGGTATTGTGTCCACCTAAAACTAAGAAATAAACATTTTTTTAAAAAAGAAATATCAGCTTAGGATTTAATTCTGCTAATTCTGGGTATTCTTAGATGACCTCCAAAGCTCAAGTGTTGAAGAGTTGGTCCCCAATGCAGCAGTGTTCAAAGATGGGGGTCTTTGAGAACTGATTAAATCATGAGGGCTCTGACTTCAACAATGCATTCATTCATTTATGGTTCAGAGTTTACTGGGTTTTGAGTGAGAGGCTTTGTTATAAAAGCAAACTCTCCTTTGCTTCCTAGGCACCACGAGGTCAATAGCTTTGGTCTACCACATGCTCCCGCAGTGATGTTCTGCCCCACTATAGGCCTAAAAGCAACAGAATCAGCTAACCATGGAATGAAACCTCTGGAACTATAACCCAAATATAAATATTTTCTCCTTACTAGTTGTATATCTCAAGTATTTTGTCACAGTGACACAAAACTGATCAACAAACTGAATTCCAATCTTTTCCTTGGACATATTGCCACAAATCAGTTTGGATAATCACTTTGGCAGACACTGAGACTGACTGGGGCAGGATAGGTGTTCAATAAAATTTATTGCATGTTCAGTTGAATGAATAGAAGCTTTACTGCATCAGTTCCAGCTGTGATTTGCATAGAACAGGGACCAACTCTAGTTATACAAAGCAAATAGAGAAATTCCTGGAAGGGTATCAGGAGTTCATAGAATTAAGGAAGTTATCTGGCGTGCGGCAAATTGCAGAATCAAGGCAGTTCCAGGGAGCTGGCACAAATCCACAGGTTCATGAATAATCTGGCCCTAGAATTGCCATTAGCCCCACCTCCAGCATCCCTTCTGATCCAAGATTCAAATTCCTGGGAGTTTAATGGTCTAAATTACCTGTTTGAAATAATTAACCCAAAGGAGATAAAAGAAGGGTCTTCAACTCCCAAGATGGGAGGCTGCAATGGAAGATACTAAGAATTGTTCCAATAAAGCTTTCACACAATAAGAAAAATTTCAAAAAAGAATATGGTGGTAACGGAAGAGGGGAATTAGATATTGCACTGTGAAGAAAGACAAATGTCATTCACATTGATACTAAAAGAGAGATGGGCTGGGTGGGGGGGCGGTTACTGGTAAAGGAGGAAATACAAGGGTGTAGTTTCAGAAGAAGGAGAAAGTGATCATCACAGTCCTCATGTAGCTGGCCAGACAGCTATAAGAACCTGGACAATGGGGAACAGAAAATAGGTATTTCATGGAGTTCCCAGGCTAACATAGGAGCTGAACAAATATTTGTTCATTGAATTCACAACAAAATGGAAACCTAAAACATGCTATTTAGATACAAGGAACTGAGTTTCCTTCTGTTAGCTCAGTGGGGAATGTGTCCCCATAGACAGTGACTCATCCTTAGAACCAGTTGAGACTTCCCATTTACTCTTAGGCCCTCATCAGGCTGTACTGGGTTATCTTTTGCCTTCTGTGTCAGAAGTATGGGGTCTCCATGAAGTTAGCCTTGGGCTTTCCCAGACTTCAACTACACTGGAGTGATTGCTTTCATGCTCCCAGGAGACATGCTTCTCTTTCTGGATTTTCAGATAAACAATCAGCCCTTAACCAGGTGAATGAGAAGTAATACTCCATTTATGTATGTTGTGTCAAAATGCATTCTACTGCCATGTAGAATAGAACAACAACAACAAAAAGAATCAGCCCTTAATTCCTGGCAATTATTTATCTCTTTTTCTATAAGAATCTCTTTTCTAGCCAATCACAGTGGTGCACGCCAGTAATCCCAGTGGCTCGGGAGTCTGAGACAGGAGGATCGTGAGTTCAAAGCCAGCCTCAGCAATGGCGAGGAGCTAAGCAACTCGTGAGACCCTGTCTCTAAAGAAAATACAAAAAAGGGCTGGGGATGTGACTCAGTGGTCAAGTGCCCCTGAGATCAATCCACAGCCCCCCGCCCAAAAAAAAGAATCTTCTCTGCTGCACGCTGCCCAGTTGTCTGGCCCAGCTGACGGTGACCTGTGGACCCTCTGACAGAAGAGTCACCTGGCCCTCGAATGCACCATGCCTGGTTCCTCCAGCATTGACACTATGAAGAAGGTGGTTCAGCAGCTCTGGCTGGAGGCCGGAATCAACCACGTGAAGGTTTCCCAGGCAGTTGCAGACCTGAAAAAATTTTGTCTGCAGAATGCTTACCATGATCCCCTACTGACTGGAGTATCTTCATGTACAAGTTCCTTCAGACCCCAGAAAGTCTATTTCTTTTTGTAGTCATCTTTCTGAGGTTTCCCAAACCCACTGCTCAAGAACCAGTGAATATTCAAGAGAGCTTAATTTGAAACCTGTACAAAAAAATTTCCCTGTAACACATGTACCATAATATAATCTTGTACTTTTGTCAATCCTTAACATCTACCTCTCTGAATTTTCATGAATTTCTATTTCACAAGGGTAATTATTTTATATACACTGGCAGCAACATACAATAAAATATTTATTTATTTATTTTTTGGTACCGGGGATTGAACTCAAGGGCATTCAACCACTGAGCCACATCCCTAGCCCTATTTTGTGTTTTATTTAGAGACAGGATCTCACTGAGTTGTTTAGTGCCTTGCTTTTGCTGAGGCTGGCTTTGAACTCTCGATTCTCCTGTCAGTCTCCCCGGCTGCTAGGATTACAGGCACGTGCCACTGCACCTGGCTCAAAATACTTAGTATTAAAAAAAAAAAAAAAAACTTTCTTCTTCCTCTTGCAGAGAAGCCACATAACCCAGATATTGAATCCTGGTGTACTATAAATCCGGATTTCAATCTTAGGTCTTTCCCTTATTTGCTGGTTGTCTCATCTTGTTGAATATGACCAGAGCCAGTTCATTACTCTGCAAAACTCCTGTCCTCCAGGAATTTTGAATGAAAATATAGTTAAAGTTCCAGACACATAAAATACTGTATTTCTCATGATACCCAGCCATCAGGTCATGTCCAAAAGATAGACCTATTAAAAATAATGCTCAAGGGCTGGGGATGTACCTCAGTGATAAATCGGTTGCTTGCATGAGGCCCTGGGTTCAATTCCCAGCATTGAAAACAAAAGAAAAGTTCAAGATACCACCTCCCCTCACCCCAAAATAATATGTTAGACAGGTGTGGTGGCACCTGTGATCCCAGTGGCTTTGGAGGATGAGGCAGGAGAATTGCAGGTTCAAAGCCAGCCTTAGCAACTTAGTGAGGCCCTAAGAAACTCAGTGAGACTATGTCTCTAAAAAAATACAAAAACATGCTGGGGATGTTGCTCAGTGGCTAAGCACCCCTGGGTTCAATTCCCAGTACCAAAAAAAAGAATATGTTAGCTGGGACATGAGACTGATCAAATTATATGCATGCAAGAATACGGTATAATGAATCCCAGTATTATGTATAATTTTACTAATAAAAATAAATAAATAGATTCCAGTTTTTTACTTGGGGAAAAAAAGCAATGTATTAGCTTATCAACAACCCCAGAGTAAATCTGTAAATCTGATGGCTGGCATCATAAGTGTATCTGGTGGGTACAAATAATCATTTTCTAGAAACCCATTATTTTGTCATACAGCAACATTTCATTAGGTACTATCTATCAGAGCTTGAATAAAATTTCCCAGTAAAATCTCTCCATTCTGGTCCAATGGTGTCATTCAGTGGTGGAGCAATTGCCTAGCTCATGTGAGGCTCTGGATTTGATCCACAGCATAGGGATCTCCCAAATCCTTTAAAGAAACAAGTGGTTCGGTACACAAAGATGTTTGTTAGATAGAAGGAAGATCACCACAGTGTAAAAGTAAAGTGTAAAGCTTGAAATTACTACAGAGAATTAAATAAATCATAATATAAATTATAATAATTTTGTTATAGATTTTTATGTAGCCGTTAAGAGATCCTGCAGAAATATATTTACTCACAAGTGGCTTTCTGAGGTAGTAGCAGTGAGAGTGGTCTGTCAGAGATTCCACCACAGGTATGGTCGGGCCAAAAGCATAGAAGGCAATGGTGCAGCCCATCAACTTCTTCTTCAGATGCTTGCAAAATAGGTGCCAATTTCAGGGGTGGTTCTATGAGCAAATGAATATAATGATAAGGGCTGTATCATTGGTTTTGATGAGTACATGAGCTTTGTATCAGATGATGCAGAACAGATTTATTTTAAAACAGTCAAGAAAACAACTGGGTTGGATCATGCTAAAAGAAGATATATTGGGCTGGGTACAGTGGCGCCTGCCTGTAATCCCTGTAGCTTGGGAGGCTAAGACAGGAGGATCTCAGATTCAAAGCCAGCCTCAGTAAAAGCAAGGTGCTAAGCAACTCAGTGAGACCCTGTCTCTAAAATAAAATACCAAATAGGTCTGGGGATATGGCTCAGTGGTCAAGTGTCATGAGTTCAATCCCCAGTACCCCTCCCCCCAGAAAGAGATAATATTATTCTGTCACAAAGTGTCTCCAACTAGAAATGATAACTGAAAGGCTAGGACTGTAGCTCAGTGGTAAAGCACCCGCCTTACACATGTGAGGCACTGGGTTTGATCCTCAGTACCACATAAAAATAAAGAAAGATATCGTGTCCAACTACAGCTGTATCTATCTATCTATCTATCTATATATATATATATATTTGGGGGAAACATTTTTTTCATATTGTTTTTGTTACCTTTTTGTTATTATCAGATGACAATGCTGTGGGGTTGATTTTATTTTAAAAAGTTCTGGGCCAGGACAGTGGCATATGCCTAAACTCAGGAGGCTGAGACAAGACTATCCCAAGTTGAAGGCTAGCCTTAGCAACTTAGCAAGACCCTGTCTTAATAAAAAGTAAAAAAGAGTCTGGGATGTAGCTCAGTGATGTGTCCCTTGCCTAGGATACAATAGGTCTGGGGTTCAATCCCCAGTACCACACACACATACAAATAAAGGCTGGGGATATAGCTCAGGAATAGAGTGTTTACTTAGCATATGCGAGGCCCTGGTTTTGATCTCTAGCACTGCACGCATGCGCATGCACACACACACACACACACACACACACACACACACGTATATATTTAGTTACACAGAAAGGTATTCTATAGAAATAAATTATAAAATTATATCGGGGAGGTGGCTGGGGTTGTGGCTGAGTGGTAGAGGGTATGCCTTGCACGTGTGAGGCACTGGGTTTGATCCTCAGCATCACATAAAAAAAAAAAAAGGTATTGTGTCCATCTACAACAACAACAAAAAATTTTTTAAATTAAATAACATTATATGTAATCCTTTTTCTTCGCAGTATTGGAGATTGAACTCAGGAGTGCTCTATCAGTGAGCTACATCCCCAGCCCTTTTTGTTTTGAGACTGGGTCTCAATCAATTCCTGAGCCTGGCCTGGAACTTGGGATCCTCCTGCCTCAGCCACTTGAGTCGCTGGGATTACAGTTGTGTATTACCATGCCCAGCTGTGATCCCGGTTTTATCATGTATATGTATGATTTTTTAATATAATTTAATCTTTTTTAAAAAAATATTTATTTTTTTAGTTGTATTCGGACTCAATATCTTTATTTATTTTTATGTGGTGCTGAGGATCGAACCCAGGGCCTTCCACATGCGGGCGAGCGTTCTACCACTGAGCCACAACCCCAGCCCTAATGTAATTTAATCTTTAAAAACTTTTTTTTTTTTAGTTGTAGGTGGACATATTTATTTGTTTGGGTACTGGGGAATTGAACTCAGGGGCATTCAACTACTGAGCCACATCACCAGCCTTTTTTGTATTTTGTTCAGAGACAGGGTCTCATTGAATTTGCTTAGCGCCTCGTTTTTTGCTGAGACTGGCTTTGAACTGGTGATCCTCCTCCCTCAGCCTCTTGAGCCTCTGGGATTACAGGCATGCACCATTGTGCTCATTTATTTATTTTATTTTAATGTAGTGCTGAGGGTCAAACCCAGTGCCTCACACATGGCAGGCAAGTGCTCATCCACTGAGCTACAACTTCAGCCCCAAATGTATGATATTTAAGGGGATATATAATAAATATTATCAGTGCTTATCTAATTCTCCCACAATTATATGTACATAAATTAGGGGGAAATGATCATTGCATCCTTTTTGCCTTGATATTAGCCTCTTCAAGTACCCCATTTTTTGGTACAGGGGATTGAAATAGGGGCTTTCACATGCTAGGCAAGTGCTCTACTAATGAGCACCATACCCAGCCAATCCCCCTTGGTTTTTAGACAGGGTCCCCCTGAGTTGCCCAAGCTGGCATCAAATTTGCCATCTTCCTGCCTCAGCCTCTTGAGTAGTGGGGATGAGGAGACATGTCCTGCAATGATTGGCTGAGACTAGATTTTTCAAAAAATTTTTTCTCAAGGATCTCTCTTAAGAAGATACAGGAACAAAACTGTGTCCAGAAAAACAATTTAAAATGTATATTGAAGGCAGACGTGAAAAGAATTTTTTTTTTCATACACATAAAAAAAAGGAGGCATGAAAGAGAAACCAATGTACCTGATTGGTTTTACTTTTTTCTTTTTTTTTTTTTTAAAGCAATATGACGGTCTCCCCTCACTGACTTCTTTGCAGAGTCTGGAGCCTTTTCCTTTGTTCTCACTCACCACTCACGGAGGGGTGAGATACATACCTCACCAGCTCACAGCAATTATCCTGATAGCTTTAGGATCGAATTTTCTGGATATCTCAAAATTGAGCAAAGGGCATCCGATAATGAATACTAATATGTTCCTGGAAAGATATCCTTCTGTGATAAACTCATAGTCTCCTGATTTAAAAATGTTTTCTTGGCCAGGTATGATGGGTGGTACAGGCCTGTAATCCCAGCAACGAAGACTGAGGCAGGGAGATGACAAGTTGGAGGCACCTTAGCAAGACCCAGACTCAAAATGAAAAATAAAAAGGGCTGGGGATGTAGTTCAGTGGTAGAGCACCACTGGGGTTTAATCCTCAGTAACACATACAAACACACACAATTTTCTGAACATTTACCTGGCATGACTAATCTGTAATAAGTGGATAAAATTCCTTTAACTATCTTTGTAAATATCCTAGGTTTGGGAAAGAGAGGAGAGGGTCTTTCCTTAAAAGCGTCCAAAGTCTAGGGCTGGGGACATAACTCAGTTGGTAAAGTGCTACAGTGCTTCCCTCGAATGCACCAGGCCCTGGGTTTAATTCCCAGCACCACACACACACACACACACACACACACACACAAAAAAAAAGCCAAGTCTAGCTGGGGGAGATGGAAACATAAATAAAAAGTGTAAAATAACAAGAGAAAGATCATAATAGGTTTACTCATAAACTGACAAGTTTTAGGGATGCATGGAAATTTGTCACCAGCCCAGAGACAGGGGAGCATTCCAGAAGAAAAAATTGAGTGTCACAACTTTAACTCACTGGGCAGGAAGATCAGTTCCCGGCCTTGAAAAAACGGAGACCAGACCTTGTACAGAAAGTACCTCAAAGTACCACTGTCAGCTACAGCTAGTGAACATCTCCACAAGATACCATAGTGAATGCTTGTCCAAGAAGTAAGATCAGGGACTCAAACAAGAGACATTTGTCGAAAATTATCAGAGATCTCTAATACTTTTGTGTTTAAGCCTTAAACAACAAGGGAACTGAAATCCTGTTTCAGCCAAAAGCCTCACTTTCCTCACAACACTACAAGTGTTGCCTTTTGCTGAACCGATTACTCAACCTGTCGAGAGCTATTAATTTATGCCGCCCGGATCTCAGCGAGAGAAAAGAGAACCAATAATGGCAGGCAAAGCAGAGGCCTAGTGGGTCCGGCTGCGGTCTCCAATTTCTTCTGAGTTTCACATTTTCTTTAGATGATCATGAATCTAAATGGTCCTCATACCTACTCCTTGTGCTCGCCCTTTCCCTCCTTCTCTCGCTCTACCAGTTTCTCCAGATTTCGGGAACCAGAGTTAGTAGCTGACCAGGTCCTCCCGAGACCAGCCTTTTCCCCACGCCCTAGCCGCAGCCGCAGCCCCGCCTTCCCCAGCCCTCGCGGTCTCAGCCGCAGGAGCTGAGCCGAGGGGCGGGGCGGCTGCGGGCCGGGCGGCGGCGCAGGCGCAGCGGCACTGGGCTCGCCGCGCTGAACGCAGCTATGGAGCAGGCACCGCCGGACCCCGAGAGGCAGCTGAAACCTGCGCCCCTGGAGCCGCTGGGTCGTCCCGACGCTGGGCTGGAGGCTGTGGCCGGTGAGGAAGCCGAAAGGGCCCGGGAAGAGGGCTCCGAAGCTGACACGGTGAGGAGAAGGGGCGGCGGAGGCCTCGAGGCCTGGGTCCGGGCCTAGTGGGCTAGGCTGGGCTGTGCGGGTGGGCTCGGCCTGGGAGGCCCCGGGGTCGCGGGGAGCGGCTGGGCAGCAGAGGCCGCAGGTGCAGCACTGGGTGTGTGTGAGGGGGAGGCTCTTCGTGTAAAGCAGGGGCTGTGGGTGGGGAGCGAACGTCAAGAGCACGGCGACCGACGGGAGGGCTTCGGAGGCGCGGCTGCGGGGCTGTGGGGCTGTGGGTGCGGGGACCAGTCCTGCCTGCGAGGCTGGAGGAGCGGCAGCTTTCAGTGGTCGCTGCACCTGATGTCTGGTCCAGAAAGTGCATCGCTGATTTTCATGCAGTCTGACAAGGGTTTTGCTGGGAAGATGGCTATTTAATGGGGGCACTGTGAGCGATGGACAGCGGTATTCGAGAAGGAAGGGAACGCCAAACTAGAGTGAGCAGCAAGTCCGAGCAATAAAGAGGGGTTGGCTGGGTGCAAACTGAAGAAAGTGCAAGGTTCTAGGTAAGGTGCAGATGAAATATTTTTTGAACTACTTGTTCGGCTCTAATTTCTTTACTTGGGGTAAGGTGTCATTTTCTATTGGAGACTTATCTGAATCCCTTTGGATAATTAGTGATTTTCACTTGTGTGAAAATGTAACATCTTATATTTGTAAGTGATTTCATTCCAAAGTGTCTACACTTGTAATGCAAGGTTTGTACACCACGTTAAATAGAAGGACTTCAGCAATTCAGTACAGTGCTTCCTGTTAGACCTTCCTGCCCAGTCTCCTTCAGTGTGCACTGCTCATCCAGTCATTTTGTTTCTTCGCACCCCCTCACCCCAACACGTGTTAGTGCTAATATGAAACTGCCTGTTCTTAAGATTAATGGATAAGGAAAAGTCAAAAGTTGTTTGCTAAATGTAACTAGGAAGACTCTTAACTTCAAGTTTAGAGATCAGGTAATTAGAGTTTTAAGTACAGGAGTTGAAGGTTTTGCCTGCTTAAGAAAATAACAAGCCATAGTAGCATGAAGACTTTTTTCAATGTACTTTTAAGTTATAAAAATTAATTTTTTAAAGAACAGTTTTAGGGCTGGGGATGTGGCTCAAGCGGTATCGCACTCGCCTGGCACGCGTGCGGCCCAGGTTCGATCCTCAGCACCACATACAAACAAAAATGTTGTATCCGCCGAAAACCAAAAAATAAATATCAAAAACTCTCTCTCTCTCTCTCAAAAATAAATAAATAAATAAATAAATAAAAAATTTAAAGAACAGTTTTAGGTTCACAACAAAGTGGAGAGGGAAATGCAGAGATTTCCCAGTACTCCCTGTCCTCACATATAGCCTGGTGCATTGTGAACACCTTCCATCAGAGGGTACACGGTAACATTGATCATCATCACCCAGTCCATGTTTACAACAGGGTTCACTGTTCATGCTGAGCATTCAAAAAATTTCATGATGACACGTATCCACCATTATAGTATCATACAAACTATTTTCACTGTGGTGAACAGTTTTTCTATCCTACCTGGTTTTTCCTTTCTCCCCACCCTATTCCTGTTCGGTGACAACTATTTATTTATTCATTTTTTTAATGTTTCTATAATTTTTGCCTTTTCCAGAATGCCCTGTCTTTGTAATCATACAGTACCTAGTCTCTCTGAGACTTCTTTCATACAATCGTGTGCTTTTAAGGTTCCTTCATGTCTTTTCATTATTTGATAGCTCATTTCTTTTTAGCTCCAAATAATATTCTGTTGTTCAGATGTACCACAGTTTATCCGTCTGTTTATTGAAGGATATCTTGGGACCTTCCAAGTTTGGGCATTTATGAATAAAGCTACTATAAGTACGTACATGTGCAGGTTTTGGTGTGGCATTTTCAACTCTGTTAGGTAAATACCTAGGTGTACCATTGCTGTATCATAGGTAAGAATGTAGCCGGGTGCTCATGCCTCTAGTCCCAGCTACTTGGGAGGTTGAGGCAGGAGGATCCTAAGTTGAGACCAACTCAGCAACTTAGTGAGACCCTGTCTCAAAATGAAACATAATGGCTGGGATTGTAGCTCAGTGGTAGACCGCTTGACTAGCATGTGTGAGGCACATGGTTTGATTCTCAGCATTGCATATAAATAAATAAAATAAAGGTCCATGAACAAGTTAAAAAAATATGTACATATATATAAAACAAAAACAGTTTAAAAAAATAAAATATAAAAAAGATTGGGGGCTGGGGATGTGGCTCAAGTGGTAGCACGCTCGACTGGCATGTGTGCGGCCCGGGTTCGATCCTCAGCACCACATACAAAACAAACATGTTGTATCCGCCGATAACTAAAAAATAAATATTAAAAAAAAAAAAGATTGGGAATGTAACTCAGTGGTAAAGTGCCTCTGGGTTCAGTCCTCAGCAGGCCATCCCCCCCCAACAAAAAGATAAGAATTTTTTTATAAGAAAAAAATTACAAACTGTCTTCCAAAGTGCCTGTACCAATTTGTTCTCCCACCAGCAATTAATGAGAGTTCTTCTTGCTACACATCCTTGCTAGCATTTGATATTGTCCGTGTTCTAGATTTAGAACATTTTAATATGTGTATAGTAGTACCTCTTTGTTTTTTTAATATTTATTTCTTTTAGTTGTACACAATGCCTTTATTTTTATTTATTTATTTTATGTGGTGCTGAGAATCAAACCCAGGGCCTTGCATGCACCAGGCGAGCACTCTACTGCTGATCCACAACCCCAGCCCCTTACTTCTTTGTTTTAATTTGCATTCTCATGACAGATGATGTGCAGCATCTTTTCAAATGCTTATTTGCCATCTGTATGACTTATTTGGTGAGATGTCTATTAAGATTGTTTATCCTTTTAGTTTTTGGTGATGAAACCCAGAATGAAGTGTGCCCATTGTTTTAATTACGTTGTTTTATTATGGTTGAATTGGTTTTTGTTTATTTTGTTTTTCAATGTTTTTGTGTATATGGTACTGGGGATTGAACCAAGGGCCTTGAGCATTCTAGGCAGGCTCTCTACCACTGAGCTACATCCCCAACCCTTTTTATTGAGTTTTAATATTAAGTTTACATTTTTTCTTCTCCTAAGATAAAATAATAATTTTAGAATTATTTGTGGAGTAGTCAGGATCTCATTTAAATATGAGAAAAGTGTGTGTATTCTGTAATGCTTAAATAATTAGTAGTAGTTTTTAAATAATTTTTGTGCGGGTTCTCACCTGTGACTTAATTTTTCTATTTTTGTTTAATCATTTTTATTGTGAAGTATGTTAGTAATGCAAACCAGCTTTCACAAAACAATTCTTTTGAAGTCCCCACATGCTCTCCTGGATTACCATCATAGAGGTAACCAGTATTCTGCATCTTGTATTAATAATTCTTTTGCTTTCCTTATAATGTTACCATATTTTTCTCTAAACAGTGCGTTGTTTAGTTTTACCAGATTTTAAATTTTACATAAACAGAACATTTTTTTCAATGGCATCCTTTCTTTGAGGATTCCTCTAAAATGTGGCTTACTTTGTTTATGTTTGTAGCTCTGTACTATGCCATTTTATAGGTGTTCCACAGTTAATTTATCTCTTCTTATGGACATTGGAATAATGAAATTTTTGGTATTTTAAAAAGTTACTACTACCATGAACTTCCTCCTATATATCGTTTATTGTATTATATCCAAAAGTCTAGTATAAATTTAGGAGTGGAATTGCAGGATTGATTGTAGGGTAAGATGCTCAACCCTAGTAGGTAGTACCAGATTATTTTCCAAAGTGCTTGTACAGTTTATACTCCCATTAGTAGTGCCTGATATCTTTACCAGTGCTTAGTATTTTGAGACTGGGGATTGAACCAAGGGCCTTGAGCATTCTAGGCAGGTTCTCTACCACTGAGCTACATCCCCAACCTTTCTTATTATATTGAGTTTCAATATTAAGTTTACATTGTATCTTCTCCTAAGATAAAATAATAATTTTAGAATTATTTGTGGGGTAGTCAGGATCTCATTTAAATATGAGAAAAACTATAAAATAGTTTTTCAATCTTGTGGTTATTTCTCTCTTTCTGTCTCTGCCTCTATTTTTATGATGCTGGGGATCAAACCCCCTTATTTAGCCCTATGCCTCTTTTTGTATCATGGACACTTAAATTTTGATTATGACAAATTTTTATTAATTATTTTATGAGAAGTTGTCAATATTTAACATAAAATCATAGTATAGAACATAAAGACTATCTGGGTTAACTAAGAAGTGATTATTGGCCTGGGGCTGTGGGACAGTGGGTCAGTGGTAGAGCACTTGCCTAGCATGTGTAAGGCACTGTGTTCAATTCCCAACACCACATATAAATAAATAAATAAAGTCCATTGACAACTAAGAAAATATTAAAAAAAAAAAAAAAGAAGTGATTATGTCACCAGAGAAGGGGTCTGAGGAGGTCTTGAAGAAGGGAGAGGGAGAAGGGGGACCCCAACTCACTCACTTCTGTCAGATGATGATAATGATGATTTTGGTACCAGGGATTGAACTCAGGGGCACTTAACTATTGAGCCACATTGCCAGCCTTTTTTGTATTTTATTTAGAGACAGGATCTCACTGAGTTGCTTAGGGCTTTGCTAAGTTGCTGAGACTGCTTTTGAACTCACAATCTGCCTGCTTTAGCCTCTGAGTGGCTGGGATAATGGGTGTACACTTCTGCTCCTGGCCCCTTTCAGATTCTTGACTTATACTATAGAGAGGAATTTCAGGTTGCATCAAAGGAGGCACAAACTATGAAGATGTGAATTTGGTGTCAACATACCTTATATATAATCAGAGATATGATAAATTATGATATAATGTTGTATTAAGAATTGTAATGCAAAAATAAATAAATAAATAAAATTTTAAAAAAAGAGGCACAAACTTTTTTTTTTTTAAATAACTTTATTTTCTTTATTTATTTTTATGTGGTGCTGAGGATTGAA